GGGGGAAGGATTGCATGGAAGGGATTGTAACCATGGCAATGAGATATACGATATACGATAGAATGAATGTAAAACCAATGTTCTCTCATGTAAACTATCACATAATTCACAATAAAACATTTAAAAAAAAAAGAATTGGTTATTATTCAATCATTTCAAGAAATATCATATGATCAAGAACTGATGGTACTGAAGGAAAATGTCCAAGCTACATTGAAGGCATTGGCAAAAAAACCCAAGGCTCCAGGATTTGAAGTAATATAAATTGAAATGTTTCAACAAAACAATGCAGCCCTGGAGGTACTCACTTGTCTCTGCCAAGAAATTTGGAAGACAGCTCTCTAGCCAATTGATTGGAAGACATCCATATTTGTGCCCATTCCAAAGTGAGGTGATGTAACAGAATGTGGAAATTATCAAACAATGTCATTAATATCATATGCAAGTAAGTTTTGCTGAATATAATTTAAAAATGGTTGCAGCAATACATCTACAGGGAACGACCAGATATTCAAACAGGATTTAGAAAAGAATGTGGAATTAGAGATGTCATTGTTCACATCTGATGGATCTTGGCTGAAAGCAGAGCTTATTAGAAATATGTTTACTTGTGTTTTATTGCAAAGGCATTCGGTTGTTGGATCATAACAAACTATGGATAACATTGTGAAAAATGGATATTCCAGAACACATAATTATGCTAATGAGGAACCTGTACATAGATTAACATCTAAGACTACAGCCTTCAGTATGGATTGTATCTCAATGTAAAGGAAACAAAATCCTCACAACTGGACAAGTAAATAACATCATGCTAAATGGAGACTTCCTTTTGTTTTATCTACAACCATGGAAGCAGCAGTCAAGAAATCAAAGGACATACTGTGTGAGGCAAATCTGCTGCAATATACTTGTTTAAAGTGTTAATGAAAAAAGATGTCACTTTGAGGAGTAAGGTGGTTCTGATACAAGTCAGGCATGTGAAAGTTGGACAACGAATAAGACTCTAGGAGAATCAATGCATTTGAATTGTGGTATTAGTTACGAATACGAAAGTCCCAACAAACTGAAGAAGTAACAAATCTGTCTTATAAGAAGCAGAATGAGAATGTCCCTTAGAAGCCTGGACAGCGAGACTTTTCCTCTTGTACTTTGTACATGTCCCTGGAAATGAACCACCAACCATCTGGTTGGCAGCCAAATGTTTAGCCCACTGTGCCACCAGGGTTCCTTTAATAATATTTAATTAATTAACTATAAGAATATTATTTCACATTCATGTATATAAAATATTATGAAGCCATGATAAGGAAAGAGGAGGAATTTTATTAGTTGAAAAAAGCAAGATCTTTACAGATATGATCCCATCTATTAGAATACATACATACATAGATAAAACACATAGGAAAAAGTCTGAAAAAACTCACATCAGACTACTGGGTCTTTAGGAAGGACAGGTTTGGACAGGTTTATGGGTACAGGCTATGTGAAGAGGAAATTTTACTTTACATACTTTTCTAGTATTGGAATTTTTTTTTTTTTTTTACAATGAGCATACATTACATTCACATATTGTGTAATTGTGAAAATGTTATTATAATAAACAAAAGAAAACATATGGAAGTCATCTAGCAATGTTTACAGCATTAATTATTGTCAGACCAAACAGAAAAGAAGTGCAAATCTCCCAAAGCTATGCAGAAATAGAACTAGGTGACTTCCCATGTCACCTAAAAATGCTTTGGGATTATATGAAGCTCCACAGAGACCCCCTTACCTACCCTACCCTTACCTCTCTCACCACACTTAGATTTTTCTTCATTTGCTTAAATCTTTAGTAATTTAACTTAAAAACAAAATAGATTTAAACTTTGCACCATTAGGGTATTTTCTTCAGACACAAGTGGATTCCATTCTTGGATTTCAGGACACTCTGTGATGATAAGATGGGAGGTCTATTGGGGTCTGGAGTCACCTCAAAGTGGAGTAGGATCAAGGCCATGGCCACCTTTACCTGAATCATGGCAAATTGCTGTCCAATGCAGTCCCTGCAGACATTGGGAGAAAGTAACACTTGGAAAATAGGCATCTCTTCTCCATTTAAATGTAGTCTCAGTTTTTAAATGCATCTGCCTTTGAATCCCCAGTACTGGAAACAGAAGTTTAATGCACATGGCAAAGAAGTATTTTTACACTAAATGGCACTGAGACTTTTGGACTTACGTTAGACCCTGCAAGAATGTGAGCTGGGAGGCTCCAATATGGTGCCCTTCCTATAACAAGGTGGCAGTTGGTGGTAATCAGATGATTTCTCCTGCATTAGGAGTGGACCGCAATGAGCCAAAGAACAACCAGTAACTTGCGTTGTGGGATAGCTAGCTGAGTGTGGCTATGTAGGATATGGCAATGTCCTTTGTGAAACAAGGTATTCCAGAACACTTAACTGGCCTTTTTAGGAACTTAGATAGGCACCAAGACCTACTTAATGACAAGATGAGAATATGAGGTTTCATGAGAATCTAAAGAAAGTGGGCTGTTGCCAGGTAAACATTTTTGTGTATTTTCAAAAATTTCAGATTTTCCTCACCTTGGTCCTGCTGAGAATGGTAAGAAGGCATAAGGGTGTCTCTGATCGGAATTCTCTGGAGAGAACCTCAAAGGGTCAAAAACCTAAAATGAGAAGGCAACCCCCACCACCATGTTACAAATACCGTTAACACATTTCTTAAGCTACTACTCAGCACTGTTCAATAAAAAGATAATTATAAGCCACATACGTAATTTAAAATCCTCTGATGGCCTCATATTAAAAAGTAAAAAGAAACAGGTGAAATTGATTTCAATAATTTAATTAAATTAAGTCAATATATTCAAAATGTTATCATTGCAACATGTAATCAAAATGTTTATAAATAAAATATTTTACATTTTTTATACGACAGCTTTAAAATCCATTGTCTATGCTTCATTTATGTTGCTGTTGTTAAGTGTTGTCAAGTCAGTTCTGATTCAGCGACCCTGCATAGGGTTTCCAAGGAGCAGCTGGTGAGTTTGAACCACTGACCTTGTGATTCAGATCGAACTTTTGGTCCAGCGCCATGCAAGGACACAAGGTTTCACTTATGGCACATTTCAATTCCCGTTAGTCACATTTCAAGTGTTCAGTAACAACATGTGGCTAATGACTACTAAATTGGATTTTGTTATTGCTGTTAAGTGCCATCGAGTCGGTTCTGACTCATAGTGACCCTGTATAGGGTTTCCAAAGAGCAACTGGTGGATTTGAACTACCCACCTTGCAGTTCAAACCAACATTGCTTCTCCTACAGCACCACACCAGGACTCCACATTGGATAGCAACACTCAATACTTGCTGATCTCGTCTGGCTTTCCCAATGGACTCCTGGGCCACCCTGATTAAGGGGAAGAGCAGATACTACTACTATTGATATTATTTTTGTTTTTGAGGAAAGAAGGCAAGTCATTTATGACTATAAAATTGTCACCGAAACATATGGCTCAGCTTCCTCATTATATCTGTTGTTGTTTTTATGTTCCGTTGAGTCAGTTTCTGACTCATAGCGACCCTGTATAGGGTTTCTGAGGCTGTACCTCTCTATGGGAGCACAAAGCCTCATCTTTCCTCATGGAGCAGCTGGTAGATTTGAACCACTGACCATGTGGTTAACAATGTGCAACCCACTACATAATCAGGGCTCCTCATTACATAAACCCTACCTCATGAAAAAAAAAGCATTGGAACATGTCGTAAATGTTTTAAAGTGTCTGGGACATTGAATTGGGGAATTCAGAAATGCTATACATCTTTTTGTCTCTCCAGATCTTCTCGTTTTCTCCTTTCCACCTTGCTGTGTGTCCCAAGAAGCTGACACACATGGTTTCCAGTTGGGTTTGGCTAATAAAAGGCTTTGGCAGATGATCTGGAAAGTTGAAGGAGTCATAGTTCAGGGTATGCATTCAGCAGGCTCTTCTCTACTGGGCTGCCTTAAAATGGCTACATGTTCTTCCAAAAACCACAGTTCCCGTCTAATGACCTCCTCCCAATATCTCTCTCTCTCCAGGTTTTGTAATCCTCCCCTCCATGTCCATTAGAACTGGCAAGCAAAGTTAACAGTTCTTTACTCCATTTTGCTTTTTCCAAACCCTGCCGGAACTTTTTAAATAGTTATTTTTTATAAAACCTTTCTTAAATTCCCAACTTAAGCGCGTCATTTATTTCCTTTGAAAATCCTGATTGGCACATGCAGCAAAAGAGAGTGAGTTGCCTGAATATATTGACAGTTGTTACCTTGGCATATGGAATTCTGGTGTGGTGCTGGACTGCAAAGTCAGTTTGAACCACCAGGTCGGCGGTTCAAACTCCCCAGTTGCTTCTTGGAAACCCTGTACAGGGTCGCTATGAGTCAGAACTGACTCAACAGCACTTCACAACAACAACAACACCTTTGCATATGTTCTTTGTAAGTCCTTGGTACAGTTTGTGAAGTGAATGAATGAAGCACACACTATGACAATTAAGGATGGACTGTGTAATCTTATGCAAGTTTTAAAATTTAAAGCAAATATATTCTTAAGAGGACACTTTCTTTTTATTGGAAAAAGTTTTACATTTTTGTTTTTATTTGCTTTGTGCCATTTCCTTTAACTGTACAGGCACTTCCGTGATTAACAACCAAGAAGTGAATTTCAAAGCGTTCGTTCTTTGAAGCATTTCTGTGTAAGATAATCATACCTTTGGGTTTTCCCAGATGGCAGGGTTGTGGTGAAGACCCCAAATACTGAGAACCACATTCATTCCTAAAAAAGAGAAATAAAGGGAAGTGTAGGAAGAGAGCAAGTTTGAGATTACTGTTCTACTTGTCTTCAGCAAGCCTTTTCTTCTAGAAGAGAAGGCTGATGCCAGCTATAATGGGCACATGGGCTTGAGTTGTGCCTTAGTTTTCAAAGAAATGCTTTATTTAATTCAAAATCTATCTTAGAGAGATATTAGTATCATGGCAAAGTGGTAAGTTATGCTTATGTTTTCTGCTCCCTCTGGAAATTACTTGAACCATCTGTTAATGGACTATAAAGCACCCATTGGAGACAGTCTGGGTAAATGAGAACAGAAATGTAGTCATGAAGATAAAGTGACAAATTTCTGTTGGTGCTAGGTGAAAATATCTCTGCAGTTTGGAAGGAAAAAGAAAAGACAGAAATGAGAGAATTTGAGTATTAGTTCGTTACTAGAAATAATTCTGGAAATGAAGTCTAGATCTGTTAACCAAGTCAAAATAGGTGACAGCTGTGTTTGCTATAAGCCACTCTGTTGACTTGTTTAAATCAAACACTGAAGCAGACAGCAAATGGCAATTCCCATGGCTTCTATAGCTCCTGCATGTCTTCTTCAGAAATCTGGGGTGTTCTGGCAAAAGCACTAAGCCTGTTCTAGCTCTGTTCATGTCAGTTAACCTCATTTATGCATTGGGATCTCCTCAATGGATTGTGGGCTACATTGAATGTATTTGAAAGTGCTTGGTGAACTGTTGTTGCTGTTATTGTTAAGTACCATCAAGTCAGTTCTGACTCACAGCGACCCTGTATAGGGTTTCCAAGGGGTGGCTGGTGAGTTTGAACCACTGACCTTGTGGTTCACACCAACCTTGTGGTCCAGCACATTATTCCATAGTGCCACACCAGGACTAAAATATAATAATGTGTGTGAAGGCATTAAGTAACCCACTACATGCTGTACACACACAAGGGTGGTATGATTATGATGAGCCCAAATGACCCTTTGGGTCTCCTAGATACAGATAATGGTTCTCATTTCCCATGAAGTCTAATCTGGATCTCAAACTCAGTTAAACAAAGATTATCTTAGAAATAATGCTTCATAATGCAAAGGACATTGGGCTGGATTCTAGAAACAGGTTCTGTGCCTAGTTACTGCAATTGGCTATGTCTCTAGGAAAAGCCCTGAAACCAACATATAATCAAGGCATTACTCACAGAACTCTTAATAGGTGCCCAACCTTCAGCCAGCTATGCTTAGCATTATCTTTTGATTTCTTCAAGAGCTAAGAAGCACACTGATCTTTGTCATTGTGGTCCCTAGGATTCCATAGTCACTATGAACTACTTAGGAAAAGACTACAAAGACCTGCAGGCAAAGAACGGCCATCTGGGAAGGTGAGGGGCTTGTTGAGCTCTCTGGAAATAGATGGAATTGGAGGGGACAGTCGGAGTGCCTCCTTGATGCACATTGTGGTGTATGACATCTCACCCAGGTGGTTCCTGTGAGAATAAGAGAGGGAGGGAGTTCAGACTCTATATCATGTTTATAAATTGGATCAAATGTCGATTTTATGTTTGTTCCTGGGAAATAGCACTGTCAGGTTATATCTAGCTTGCTACTTGTTTATGTAACAATATTAAAAGGGAATTCTTTCTGCCTTAAAATTAGTTGAGGCTCCAGAGGCAGAGGAACCAGGCAGGTGCCAAATATCCTTACTATAAAGTGAGGTACTAACCTACTGATAAAGACTTGCTAAGGAGATTTCTGAAAATTAAACTTACAGCTTGTCATGGCTTACATTGTGTCCTCCACAAATATATTCAGTTTGGCTAGGCCATGATTCTCAGTATTGTGTGGTTGTTCTCTATTCTGTGCACACCCTTACTTAAGTCACACCCCTTACCTTACAAAAGATAAAAGGAGAGAGAAGCCAGCAGAGAGGAAAGGGATCTCATTATCACCAAGAAAGATGAGCCGTGAGTAGAGTGTGTCCCTTGTACATGGGGTCCTGCATTAAAAATCTCCTAGATCCAGAGGAAAATTAATGCCAGGACACACAGAAATATTCAAGAAATACTGGGCCCATAATGTTGGAAGGAGACACGGACTTTCTTCCAGAGCCGACCGAGAGAGAACGCGTTTTCCTAGAACTCTGATTTCTAGCATCCTGAACTATGAGAAAATAAATTTGTTAAAGCCATTCAATTGTGGAATTTCTATTACCTCAGCACTAGATAACTAAGTTACAGCCATTAATTCATCATATAAATCAAGAATATATGAGGAATGGCTAAGAATCGAAGGGGGACATTGGTTGTTTGCCTTTCATGGGAGTGATCCAGATTTGATTCCTGGCCAGTACACTTCAGGCACAGCTAATGTCTGTCTCCAAGCAGAAGCTTGAGTGTTGCTATGATGCTGAAACAGGGTTCATTAAGAGCTTTTAGACTAAGGCAGACTAAAACACACTAGAAAGGCCTGGAAAGCTACGTAAAAATAAATAAATAAATAAAAATGAAAAATTAGCCAATAGAAACCCTAAGGATCATAATATTCAACCAATCATAGGGATGGAGGACTGGGCAATGGAGCAGCATTTTGTTTAGCTGTGCATGGGGTCACCATAGCCATTAGTTGAGGCTGAGTAGACAGCAGCTAAAAATACCACCACCAACAACAAGAACTGTAGAGAGGAGACTTAAGACTTTTGAGAGAGGAAAAAAATCCTTTTGTTGAAATGTTGGAGCACCAAAGAGAATGGAGATAGCACCCCCACATTTAAAATAAAGTCAGGGGCTTCAAAAGGTTCATTAAGATGATTTCACATGTACTCCCTGGAATCGGGGCAGTACCCGGACTGACATGAGAGGCAGTGGAGCAGAACAGAGAGAAGCAGGGCTGCACTGGGGACAGCATCCTTTTCCTGGAAGTGAAGTTTGTTCTAATGGTCAATGAATTGGCAAGAAGAAGAGCTCCACATCCAACTTGTTAACTCTATTTTGAGGAGGCAGCTTTTCCCCAGTAGCAGTTTGAATGTCTTCCAACCTGTAGGGCTCATCTTCTGGCACTATGTCTGACAATAATCTCTTGCTATTCATTATGTTTTCATTTTTTGGCACCATACCTCACAATATTCCGCTGCTAGTTAGTATAAGGTTTTCAGGGGCTAAGCATTCAGAATTAGT